ACCCTAAACCGTGAACCCTAAACCATGAACCTAAACATCTCCAAACCCCAAACTGCAAGAAGCTGGCGTCAGGCTTTCCGGAGGACCAGGATGCAGCCTGGGTTCTCTTGCTGCGGGCCTAAATTTAGGGTCTTGTTTTTAAGTGCCATGGTTTGGGGTTTAGGGGTTTAGGGTTCAGGGTTTAGGGTTTAGGGGTTTGGGGTTCAGGGTTTAGGGTTTAGGGGTTTGGGGCCTATGGCTTTAAGTTACCATGGCGGCGTTCAACGGACTCTGTTGGGCCCGTTATGGGGTGTTGAAAGGATCTTTCGGGGTTCAATACCTCGATTTCCGTTACCATCATCAAGGCATCCCTGAACAAGGGCCCAGCAGCTCAATCACGAAGGAGCCACTTTGCAAGAAGGGAGTCCATGCCAGTGTAGCGCCGAAGGTGGCAATCAGCACCTCAAAGCGTCAGTTTCGGAAAATTCGGGGTCAAGCCTTCGGCCACATGATTGCATTTCCAGGTCCTGGCTGTTCGGTCAAATCCCACCCTGAACCCTAAATTGTTCCGAGTCGAGGCGGCTCAGCAGATCAGCAAGCACAAGAGCCCCGGCCGACGCAGGCGCCTACCGTCAACAGAATTGCATGTCTGAAATCTGAAAGCTCTTCCTGTCCCTTTAGGAATGGACCGTGATCTTGATATCCCCCACCCCATACTACACCCTAGACCCGGAACCCATATCCTGAACTTACGGCCCAAAAGCCATGCCCTCCTGAAGCCTAGCTCCCAGACATTCCCAGACCCTCCGAGGAAAACCCCGGATCTGTTGGCAGGGACCTGGGTCCGAAAGAGGATCAGCTGCAGCTGGTGCAGCAGAGGGTAGTCTTGCATCCTGCACGGAGGCACGTGGGACCCGCAGGCTTATGCAGACAGACAGACAGACAGACAGACAGACAGACAGACAGACAGACAGACAGGCAGGCAGACAGACAGACAGACAGACAGACAGACAGGCACCATCTGCTTTGCTTATACTATACGGTATCTACTAACTTTTAACGTCTGACATTTTGCAACAGACATGGGCAGCAGTTGGCTCAGGGTTGACATTCTGAGTTTGCGGCCACTGCTTTAGGGGCGCCGGTAGTTCAGGATGGACGATTGAGGCTTGAAGGCTTATAGTTTCGGACGGTCCTTTCCGGGCTTGGGCGGCCGTTTATGGGCTTCGGGAGCTTGATAAGCCCTGAAAAGCCTTTAGGACTCGATCACCAGGCTGCATGCAAACCCTCTCACCTCAAGAGCCCTGCACCCAAACACAACACACCAAGATCCCGAACCCTTTTTAAGCCTAAACCCACTTGGGTAGTTCTCGAAATTCAGATCCCTTTTTAGATCCCCAAAATAGTACGGCACTCTTACAAGAAGGACCCTTAAAGGGACCCTGACTTAGAGAACTACCGACTTGACTTCTGGGCCTTAATACCCTAAACCCTCAACCCTCAACCCTAAACCATGAACCTTAAGCCTAGGCCTTTGCGTCCAGGGCTCCTCGCTGTGACCAGCGACAGCAGGCCCCGGCCTCTCAGAAAGCATCTCACGGTTACTTTTCTTTTGGGGCGGCCGAAACCTAAAGCCCTCAAACCTAAACCCATGAACCCCATACACCGACAAGCCTAGTACATATACTCTTTTGGGGGATCCCTGTTAGAATTTATAGTATAATGGGCCCCAAGACCTTATTCTAAGTATTAGGGCCACTACATTAAACCCTTATAGTACCCCGTTTAGTAACCTCTTCATAAAAAAAAACTTAAAGGAACCGTATTCTCATTCTTAAAGCCCCCAGATTCGAGTCTTTCGGGGCAAAGATCTTGGGAAGGCGCTGTGATGAGGGAAGGTGCAGGCGCTTCGAGATTTCAGGCTCCGAGTTGAGAACTTCGGGGTCTGGGTGTTTAGGGTTTAGGGTTAGGGTTTAGGGTTTAGGGGTTTAGGGGCCTAGGGGTT